GATGGCTCAAACAAAATAGCAACACATAGAATTCACTGCGATAGCAAATGCGTGTGTTTTTATTATTAGCATCGACCGCGCTAACTGGCTGACCAATTGAAAGACGTCAGTGCCAGCGGGTAAAAATCAAGGTCCCTGGAAGGGGGCCAAAATTCGAAAAATGCGCAATGCGCTTGATGCGAATGCCGATACGACTCTCTCTACATGTTCTTTCACGAAGACACACATCTCAGCTACACAAATGCCCTCGCTCGAATCTAGGAAGCCACTGATGCAAAGAGCGGAGGACAGCAAAAGGGTTATTTCAAGCCCAGCCGAAGACAGGATATCGTGGTATGCTGCATCTATCTCCCAATAATTCGATAATCGTGCACTCCCAAGTGTCAGCAGCTGCCGACAGAATATACCAACACCTAGTCTATGGTGCTGTTATTTGCCGGAAAAACGCGATTTGAATTCGTGTTCTGTAGACTATACCCCGGAATTGTTCTGCCCGCTACGATGTGAAGGCCCAAATCGCAGCGGAATTTTTTTCCTGCGATTCGAGTTTGAGGTCGTTGCGCAGGCGTTGTTGCGCGCGCGCGGCGCCGATTGCACGTTTGTACCGCACCCGTGCACCGCCGTGCACCCGTGTGCGCCATGTTTTTGTTTTTGTTTTTCTCCCATCATTGGACTCTGTCGTCTGCCCTTCTGGCCCCTATCCTCCACTTCTACTAGCTAGACGACCCAACCGGGGTCACGTAGGAGGGGGGGGTTGGACCCCCCCCTGTGGTTCATGCCNGCCATGTGTATCGTGTTGATGATAAACAGATCAGATGTTGGACGTGTGTGTGCGAATCAACTCGTTGTTGGGATTAAATTATGTGGAGAGCATTCGGTGGTGGAGAGAGGCAGACGACACACCCTTTCTCAAAGGAAAAAAAAGGACGCAGTACAGCTAGTACATAGACTATAGACTATAATGCATAGTAGATCCATGGTATCGCTTGCTGCTGCTGCATGCTCTCATTTACAATTACACAACCGGCCGTTGCCTATTTTTGCTTGTTGAATGATGTGCTGCTCAACACAGAGCAGGGGTAATGGTGTGTGTGTGTATCGCTCCCGATCCTATACGGCGGCGTAGTAGCCGTGTTCGAAAGGAACCAACTGTCAGTTGGTGGTCTGTCAACCGTCAGTCAGTTGGTAGTCTGTCGATTCAAAGCCAGTGTTTTCCATTTTCCGACCATAAGGGTTGTTCTCAAAAATCGCAGCTGCTCTCTGTCGGCTTGGGAATTTCCGCCTGATTCTGTGGTTTCCAGCCAAAATGCAGACCTTCCATGAGAATTAATTGGCCTGTAGTGGGCGGAGAACGGACGGTTCATCACGAAAATAGACAAATGTTTTTTTAGACGTAGGTTGCCTGTCAGTGCGGTAAACAGCTTCCTCTGATGTAAATGCAGGCTGATACAGAACGGGCCCGGACATAAGAAACGTCAACATCGGGTCGAGCCTCAATTTATTAATATCGCCCGAAGGACCAGACGAAGTAGGCCAACTTCTTAAAAACGGATTCCTTAATTCCTTGGGGCTGTCGCATCATCCTGCTGCTCTCGTTTTCTTGTTTCTGGCCAAGAAACTTACAACACACCAACCCTTTTCATGCAGAATTTTCAATCGACAGCTCGGTGGTGGCCAACATTGATTAGGATTGTCACCCTCCTGCACTTCCCGACTCCCGTGATATGTGGCAGGACAGCAGTACAACAGAGCAGTGGGTACCGCAGCCCGCGGCCGCGCGGGGTGCCGGGGGGGGGGGGGGG